TGGAGTGCATCGTGTAAGGCCTGGCTTAAAATTGAGAAACAAGTCGTAAGAAGAATTATACTATGCTATTATGAATATTTAAGGTCTAAATTTTGCAATTGTCCTTCTTCGATTCGGGTGGTTTTGCATATTAGTGAATACGTAATTACTGCTCACAAAATGGTGCATAACCATCCATGCGATAGGGTGTACATGCAGAATGACCCCTGGTATAGAAGACTAACAGTAGAAGAGAAAGAAAACTTGGAACCCCTTCTTCAGCAATCGCACTCATCCGATGAAATAATTGCGCATGTTAAGGAAAAATTCCGCAAGGATATAACTCGTAGTGACGTTAAAAATATGAAAGCCCTAGTTAATAAAGGTAACTTAGACGTAATTGTTATTTACTTAAGGTATGTCGAGCCTTCGTGACATTTTTGATTTCCTGAAATGCAGTGGGAAGTTAATGGAGCATTACTCAGATGAACCTACGCGGAATTCACTAACAAGAGTCTGTTTTTCAACTAATGAGCAAATCCAGTTGTATAAAGAGTTCCCGGAGGTTGTCGGTATTGACTCTACATATAATACAAATAAAGGGAAGTAAGTTTACCAATTCATTAATCAACACGCAGGTATTCATTGTTCCAATTACTTGTGACGGACAATTTTGGTCGTGGGCGACCAGTGTTATTCGCCTGGACTCGAAAGGAATTCAAGCGTGATGTAGTCTGGATTTTGGACTCATTTAGTCAAATAATGGAAGATACATCTATAACTGAGACATTTATTATGGACTGTGCGCAATGTGAAATAGGAGCAGTGAAGTTAACGCACAGGCAAGCGCACATAGTGCTCTGTTCTTTCCATGTTTGTCGTGCATTCTGTCGTAAAGTAAATTTTTTTTAGCACATTAAAAATTTTACTTGCAGACACGGAATCCCATTGTTAAGAACTATTTATGTCGCTTAGTTCAGTGTAAAAGTAGATCAGAGTAATGCCTGTAATATTTTCATTTTTCGGATTTAATTTCTATTATAGAGTTATAAGCAGATTGGATGTTCGTGTCAGTCAATATATACAGCGTCGTTGGATGAGTAGACGAGAATTGTGGGCAGCAGCTTTCAGAGATCACGTGCTGACTTATGGCAATGCTACTAATAATCGAGTAGAAAGTTCACACAGGCAAGTGAAGCGGTACTTGCAAAGGTCAGACAGTCTGCAGAAAAGCATGCTGAAGGTTTATAAATGGTGTCAACGAAGTTATTCCAGAATTCAGCAGGAGTCGATGATTGCTCGGTCGCGATGCCTCACGTATTCATGTTCACAACGTTTATTACCAATCCTTCGACTGCTGACGCCATACGCTTCCAGAAAAGTGATCCTTGAATATGAAAAGCGACGATGGGCTTCTGTGGAGGTTGAAACTTCCGATTATGTCTTCTTCCAAGACCATGGGAGGAGAGTAGAGGTTGATCTGCGTGCTTGTACATGCACTTGTATGACGTTTCAGACATGTCGGTACCCCTGCAGGCACTTGCTGTTGGTCCATTTCAGAAAGCCGTGTTTTACAGGTACATTTGCGTTTGTGTTCGTAATTATATTTACTTTTCTTGTTCCACCTTTTATAGTCAATCATGTGCTTCAGAAATGTAAACACTGGACGTGGTCACGCGACTCATGCACATCTCAAAGCATTTCCGCAGTTGTCCCTCGAAATCCGTGTAACACAGTGCAAACCCAAAGGAGGCTTCTTATTGAGTGCCTGACAAAACTTACTGACAAATTTGGAGATGCGTTTGCCGCGAACATCACAGCAGACTGTATCGCATATGTACAGCGTTTTCTTAATATGTAAACAAACTAATGTTGTCTTATAATAAATATAAACTTTTCATATAAATCTTGTTGTCTTTCAATTAATGTGTTCGCTTTGTGAGCACGGCATGCCAGGCCGGTGCTCTGTAGGACTTGAACTCGTTACTATACTTAAGTGTAATTCTGCAGAAGCACTATAGACCGATATACGTGATGAATTATAAGTAGTTTAGTGGACCTTAAGTCTCTGTCTACAGTTACGTGAAAACGTCTCATAGTCATACGCAAGTCTGTAGGGAACAATAGGTACAACTTAGACACTGCATTGCAGTTACAGTTGGTATACGGTTTCCTGTATTACAAATCAGTGTATTACTAATATTTAAATTAAAACGTTATGGCAGTCCCTATGACAACGGGTGTTAACGTATACTGTAAAGTTAAGTTCACACATGACGAATATATACGTAGGTTGACTTGTAGCAGTAGTAGTAACAATTCGCTTACGTTCAATTATGCAGTCAAATAAATCATCAAGTATCATTGATAAGTCTGACATCTGCATCGTCATGCAAAAGAAATTAGTTTCATTTAGATAGAATAAGAAAAGTATTGTAAGCAGGATGTTAAATGTATTTTATGAAAAAAATAAGCAAATGTCTTTACACAATTGTTTATCGTAATTATTTCGCCCATGTTGAATTCCTGTGACCCAGTAGACTGACATTACCGGATATCTGTAAATAAGTGAACAAAGTGTATCTTTTAAAATCGCAGAAGTAAGTAAGACGTAATATTAAAGTTAAACCCTTTATATTCACATACCTTTTCTGAAAAAGGTTCTTTTTCATTCTTCCGTTATGAAAGCATTCTTCTGCAGTTTGCAATGTCACACAGAGATTGTTCGCCTTATACAGTACAGCAGCAAGCAAATAATAGTAATTCAATAAGTCGTCTAAACGGGTATTTACAATGAATGCATGTAATTTCTACAGGCACAATAAGTTATGTAATGAATTGCAATCCTCAAGTATCATAAAATAATACTTTTTCAGAAGTTCAAGTTGTTCACTTAGTGAACGAGTAATTAGAACAGGTTATGATAAGTGTCAACTTGTAAACCATTCACAATGAACAGTGTACAGGAAACTTCATCACATCTTGGTTTCAACCAACTTCTCCTTCACGCACATAAGCATCCAGTCACTACATACACTCAAGCATTGTAACCTGAACATCACAAAATCCCTACAGATAACTTCTTTCATAATAAATGATTTAAACATATGAGCCATAAGTGATTCTTCAATATCCTTCATAGCCACAAGTAATTCATCAAGCATCTCAGAATATCTTAGTGATCTGAACACGAACAGTTGTCAAGACTGGGATAACTTATGTAACAGGTGCAGTAGTTGTAGGACACACCTGCTAGCTACTAATCGACAGAAAATTGATACTAATTTTAAGTAGTCTGATATTTCAGGAGGACCATCTGCAGTATTCTTCGTAACCCCATGCACACTGATATACACGTAATCTGATGCCATTTTTGACAATGAACAATTAAAGCCTTCTGACATTCCAAGTGCTAATGTCAATTAAACTAGTATCATGTCTTCGCCTAAGCAATTTTAAATGGGAACTTCATCAAAGTAGATATAATCACCAGGAAATGCAGCAGCCTGTCTCATTCATTGCATGATCTCCTCCATGTGCTATGGAATATTTCAGTCATCACAGATGATAAAAGAAGTGTCTGACATCCTCAAAACACACATCAAACTTATGTCTCTAGGCTATTTTTATTTCAAATGCACGATTCTCATAGAATAACTGGGATGACCACAGCCATTGCCTGCAGTCAATTTACAACCTTAAGATCTGAAACAACTCACGAAAAACAATGCCTAAATGCTCTAAAACCCTAATAACGGACTTTTTATGCGATATTTCTTCAAAATGATGACTTTTTTATTAGTAATTCATCTAGGCTGTCATGACAATATTACGCATTACTACGAACACAATACACAAAAATATTGCATTTTTCGGCTACAGAAGCCTAAAATTAGTCAAATAGAATCTATTTTCACAATACTGAGCGGTTAGAACGTCTCTATAGGCGTGAACGCGATAACCCATGCAATGCGCGAAAACACCTTATCATAGAACATAGCCTCACTCGAGGAAAAGTCACGTCGTATTCAAGGAGCGCGCGAAGATTAGACTTTTTTAATAATAATATGTTCTCATTTTTGTACTTGAGGGACGCCAGTTTACAGGCGTCATCAATGTGATAGATTATCTATGATTAGTAAGCATATTTAGTAAAGGAAGTTAATGGAAGCCTGGCCACGAGGTTAGGTTTGCCAGGCTAAAGAGTCGGCAGGTGGTGTGACCAGAGCTCAGGTTTAGTAGGATTGGTATCCACACACCAATCTTGAGCGTTACTTCCAGTTGAAGCCGATAGGAGGCTATGTTAAATCTTTACAAGCACCCAAATTGGTTGGGTGCCTAGACTGTCACTTCGCATTTCCTGAACTTGTATGCTTACTTATGAATTCGACGGAACTAGTATTGTAAAAGCCACTCTCCCACTCAGTTCATCTGGGACCAACTTGTGTCGTATTGTATCACAGTAACAAAAGGGTTCTCTGAATAATTTAGGGAACACACAATATTGAGAAGTTGAAAGAACCATACACTGATACAGGAAACTGTGATTTTAAAAGTTTACGACTGATAAATTTTGTGTTGGCACGAATTAATTTTTCAAACCAATTTATGCTTGACATTTCCACCACTGTATTATCTTTGTCATCATGCTTCAACTAAAAACAGATATAAATAAATAAGAGTAAGTGAAAAGAAGGTGTAAAAATGACAAAAGAGTGAAGCAGATTTGGAGAAAGGGAAAATTCCGACAAGTTATAGTACTGAAAATTAGTTGCTCAGAAATGATTTTCAAATCATTCATTCTACTATACCAACCTTTTAGGAACCACCTAACATTTCGTATCTCACTGTTGTGCGACTCAAATCACTTCACACTAAACATGCATCAGCAGTGGGACAAGTGAACAGACAAGTTTCTGAATCCGCCAATCGACTGTTTGAAACGTTCAATTGCACATATAATTGGCGATTATTTAAAGAGTACGCTATAAGTGCTTTTTATGAGTGAATTTATGGATGGATTCTAGGCCTCACGAAATGCGGATTTCACAAATGAGAGATTGTTTTCTTTTGATGCCATCCGGGGAATTCATCTTAGTCAGGTATATGAATGGGTTGCAACTGCTTGGGTTTTGCTTCGCATTTTTCGGACTTGCTAGTGTCTTCTTAGGTAGTTCGCATTTCCTTTTTCACCCATCTCCAGGCTTACTAGATGTCCTCTTAATCCCATTGTATTCTAGAGATAATAAAAATTATCCGTTTGAGTTCAGCCTAGCAAATGCTTATGGTCTCCCCATTGTCACAGGCGTTCTAGTAAGTGTGCTCTTTGTAAAGCTTATTTTAGATTGTATCTACTGGAGCTATGGCTCTTCGCACAGTAATCAGTGAACGTTTTGCTTCTGTAAGTAATAACACTTGATATTTAGCCCTTTGTGGACTGCATGCACTATATACAGTCATAGCCTATATTTCGTTTGTATACATACATAAATCAAGCATATTTATATGTATTTAAATTTGATGAGTGGCATTTCTTTCCTTATAAGTCTTCGAATCGCTTCATTTCCCTAATTTCCTGAGTATTTGAAAGCTGGGGAAATTCATAGAGAACACTCCATGCTATTTTATTGCTCACTATTAGGTGTTTAGACACCATTAAATTCATTATTACTGTGTTGTATCGTTGTGCCAATGTATATCAAAGCTTTGAAGTCCGATGAGTGCTCTTCGGGGAGAAATCATCCTACATAATATTTCATTACATGTTATTAAGCCGTGTGTCTTGGCAGTCAAACTCTGTATGTTGGGGAATTTTTCTAGCAATAGTGGGATTATCAGGTTTTGTGCTGTTGGACTTGCTGTTTTAGGAAGATTTTGGTAAGCTAATAAGTTCGCACAATCTTAATCGACACTGCTGAGGATTGTTTGTCGGGAATATACTGTTTATTCAGGTGGTTACTTGACTTCTGTTATTACCTCGAAGTTTGTCGATTCTCTGCCAGGATAACTTCGAACTATCTTGGTGCATACAAAATTCAAATAAGCATATTCCACTCGTGGCAAAAATAACTGATATAGCATTGACTTCGACTTAAGTCCCAAAACAGCAGTCAGTAACTGATTATGTAAATACACCTGTGAAAGGCTTCTTCCTTGGATAGCAACCCTTACTGTACTGAAGACTAAATCGTCATTAATAGAAATATGTTAATACGAGTATAAAGTTGTGCAATTCAATAAATCCATCTACTTGAAAACCGGAGACAGCCAAAGAAAGTCGAACGATTGCCTCTTGTGATGTGCTTAAGTTACAGTGACTATGGTCCCTGGAATCTTGCGGAGCCACGCATAATTCTACTTCGCACCTATTAATCCTATTCAGTTTATTCCTCACATTACTTTCGTAAGTATGAGGGCATTTAGTCAGTGAAAAATATCTAACCTGCCTTCAGACCTCATCTAGTGTGACAATTACCATTTATTTTTTTGCGACTAGTAATTCTTTGTAATTTAAGCAATCATCATTTACTTGAAATCCATCATTTCTGCATTCTATTCAAAGTCACCACACCTCATTATTTCATTAAGTGAACCAGCAAAATGATTATGCAGGCGAAGCAAAAGGAAATATAAGGTCAATAAAGTAATATACTATTACAGTTTAGATGAAGGTAAGCTATGAATTCAATTATCCTATTGGGACATTATGAGTCTAGGCTTTCATTTCATTGCGACCTGCTTACTGTGTGGCACTTGCAAGCTGATTTGAGAGATTTTACACTTGAAACAGTTTGCATAACATTTGTCAGAAACTATTTCACACTAACATAAATTCTCCCGTCCTTTTGTAAATAAACATTACGTTGAATTTGTAATGGTGCGTTGGTGGTTCAGACCACGCACGTGGTCTGGAGTTCCATCGCCGGCCGACACACCTTAACATCGGTTAACTGGTAGTAAGCCTAGTTAGGAGTGGAGGTTGGGCGTGAGTCTAGCAACCTCATCCCATAAAAAATAACCACCACTGCTACTGAAACTTCAAAGTTCAATCTTGAAGTCCCATGTTCCACTGGGAACCCAAAGGGATGAAATGATGAATGCAAAACCATATGAAGTGGAGCTAGTGAAACTTGTTACGTCTTCATATTTATCTACATTTTCCCACGGAAAGATGAAAGTAAATAAGAATCACTTGTAAAATGCATAGTGTTGTATTTAGTTGCTAGTTATGTTTAGGTTTTGTTAATGATAGCTGAGATATTTATTCCAATTGTAAAGATTTCTGCTTTAAAAAAAAAACGTTTTCTTTCTCTAGCTGCGACGATTTTACATATCACTGTGGTTAATATTACTTCTAACTGTTGTCTATTGGTGCTGCCTTATAGCTGCTATTTCTTGTGGATATTTTTCATCCAATACATCGTATAATGTAAGTTACTGTTGTATATTATGCTTCTGTTGTCTTTAAAATAAATTCCGGTGTGCGTGTGTGATCAAAGTGAGGTAGTAATTTTATAGGTAGTTCATTCCCATTCCCATTTCGCTTGAAAAGGTTATTTTTTTTTCTATACAGAGTCTATTTTCCTGAAGCGATAACACCACAAATGTTTCTTATCCACTTTCTGTCAGATAGTGTAGAAAAAACAAATGGCCAAACTGAAATAGTATTAGGTTGTTTTGATTATAATATCCACAATGTTTAGTTGAAATAGATAGAAAAATCAATAATTATGCATACTAATAAATATGCCACTTCAAGGTCACTATTAGGTACTTCAATAAAACATATCAATGAAATGCTTACGACACATGAAAAATGGTGTTCACATACATAATTCACTATTCAAATCTGTGAATTCACCAACTAGAATAACATGAATTTACGTGTTATCATACATAAATAACAGAGTGCTGAGTATTATAATCTCTTGTTCATGTGAAATTTAGGAAAATCAATACATCGCGCATACATAATGCTGAAATCATGTTAATAAAACATGCCATGACAATAAAAACAATACTTATCGATAATAGACAATGAATAGCGTTCAGAAAGTGTATTTTCAAGGCATGAGATTTTTTAAATAAGGTAAATGAAATATTAAAATTGAATTTGTGAACCAGTTATTTGCCAGTAAAATTAGGGATACAACTAATCTGAAGGCCCTATAACATTAGTGAATTTACTGAGATGTTCAACTCCGAAAATATAAATCCCTTCAGATACAGAGGAACAATATTGATGACGCCTGAAGCCAACAATAAAAATGATTCTAGTAAAAGTGTTTCCGGAAACAACATTGACCACCGAGCTTTGCTTTCAAACCTTGTACTTCCACCAACAATATTGAGAAGTTAGTTTTCAGTGGCTAACTCACGTCTGCTAATTGCGTTATGCGCTTCTATTTTCTTGTGAGTTTTGAAAGTGAAGCATGTTTCAATTATTTAATATTTGGTAGTTTTGAAAATAGTGATTAATTGTCTTTCAACGACACTGAATCATGACTTGGTTGTATGAAGTACTTTTGCTAAGGAGGATAATGGTTTCCATTCCTGCGTTAATGTATTGTTGTAAAACTGCACCTGTAGCAACATTTGAAGTGTCTGTTATAATCACCAAATGTACAGAAGACTTGCAATGAGTGAATCGGTTGTCAGAACTCAGGTCAGTTTATGTGCAGTGCCTGTAGAGCTGTCTGGGTCATGCAAGCTATTCTAAATTATCTGCGAAAAGCGTTTATTAGTGTCTGAGCAAAGATTTTAAATTACCTGTCAAAAGAATTCAACCAGTCTATTTGGAAAGAAATTTTAAATTGGACATTCCTTGATTGTTTTTTTCTTCTTGAGTCTGGTTTAACGTTGTCTCCAATTATCATCTGTCTCAAAACTGTGAAGGCGTTACTTTCTGAACTCACAATTTTGGTGATTCGCAGTAGCACTGTATGGTTAGGTTACAAAGATCGAGAAAGAACTACACCAAGGTGTGATACCACTACTGTACATAGGCTACTGGCGTGAGTAACACGGAATCTTCAGTTAGGCGTCCATATGGCAGCAGAAACCTTTGATTATAGATTAAGTGTGATGGTTTAGGATCGGTCGTAGCGAAACAGATATTTCATATGTTATTAATTCCAGAAGCCGGGTTATTTTGAACTTTTCTTGAATCATGTCATCGTATGTCTCTAACTGCGGGTGTTTGACACTTTGGAAACCTCACTCAGATAGTCTAAATCTAATTACACTGCTCAGATTAAGTCACTGTCTGACCATCTTTAATCCTTTTCCAAATTAAGCTTATTTTAACCAACATTACTCATTGATAATTAAGCATTCGTAAGAAATACCTTAGCCACTTCAGTCAGTAAAGCTTTACAGTCCCATTGATTGACTGTCCCCCCTTACTTAACACATTCTATCCTAACCTCATTATTATCTGTCATGTTGCTTCACATACAGCAAGTTATTGGTAAAATTCATCTGTCAAAATATGCTAACTTTCCACATCTGCTTTCATATGCCATGCTTCACATCCATAAAGACGAAGAGAATGATGTGCTGCACAGCTGTACATACATCCTTTGATGGACAGTTAGGATATAACGCCGGCGGCAAAGATGACACAGGTTGATACATTTCAAAAAGGCGTGTTTTTGGGTACTCACTGAGATTTCCTTATTAGTCAACCCCCATTCGAGTTTGTGCAACTTCTCAAGTAAGTGAAGTGATCAACATATTCAGCCATTTCACTGCCTATTTGTCAGATAATAACAAAAGCAGACTGGAAGCATTAGTCGCAAGAAGACTTGAACAAGGGGAATACTCAGATAACGGCAGTCTATCCTCTGTGAGTTACAAATAGGGATTCCTGTTTCATCAGAGGGGGGTGGGAACTTCACTCTAAAGGTAGACTGACTGAATCATAAGTCCATTCTCGTAGAAAATAGGTATGTAAACTAATTTTCAAGGATGCTTAGAAATAAGCATTAGTGAAGAAAGTGACATCTGAGGCAAAAAACTTATTTGCACTCAGTTAACCTCTAAAGGAGGTTGTATCTCAGAAATGCTCGAAAACAGATGAAAGACCATTCAACATAGCCATTGGGACCCGACTTATTGGGACATAAATTCCAACTCCCGCGAATTCGTGACTTATTTAGCGCAACCGCCAGCTAATGTGTTACAGGTCCGCCAAGTCAGACAAGAGCACAGTTACTCACCTGTAACATTGCCTAACGTTTGTGTTAAATACGTCACGAATTTGCAGAAGTTGATTTCATGGTCCATTAATTCCAAGTCCCACTGGCTGAATGGTCTACAAGCCCGTCTTGTGACTGGAAGGTCTTGGATTCGAACTGCACTGGGTCCGTCCTGCTGAACAGTTCCAAAATAAGGCAAAGCAACTGTCCAGTACTCCTTATTTTTCAGTGTTTCTCTAACTGATGTCAGCTTTTGATCAATCCTTTAACCAATCAAATCTTTACAAACCAACGCTTGGTAAAGACCTCCCATCAAAACTGACTGTTAGTGTTAAACCTTACACATAAGTTTAACAATAAGTTTAACAATTCAAGTTAACAATCAAACTAAGATTACTTTTTCAAATGACGTCTTCCATAAACTCCTTGTAGCTTAGACTAAGATCATTGTTTTTATTTCGTGCTTTTTGGTTTAGGCGGTTTACCCAGGCCAGAATCAACGAGTTTGTAATGTAACTTGTCTATCCGCTATTAACATGTATACAGGTTCCGTAGTATTTCTAAGATATATTCATTGATATTACTATATTGTTAAAGCCCTATGTACAAACAAGTGAATCCATCGGAAATTATCCCCTCTAATAAAATATTTCTTTTCTTTTTTTGTTAAACATTACATTTTAGATTTCCAATTCACATTTGGTAACAAGAGTTTTTACAGCTGTGAATTCTGGTCTTTCACTTATTCCCTGTTTCACTGGTCTAGTGCTGTACAGTCGTCCTGTTCTTAGTAGTAGTAGTAGTAGTAGACATGGAGAAGTCTTTTGTTGCAACTCTTTATTCCAGCGATTACGTGGCTATGTGCCTTACAGACAGCTATCATCAACAAATCAAACTCGAACAAGTAGTACTGATTCAATATCTGCATGAAGTTTGCATTATTTGATCGCTGTAGCAATCTTTTCCTCTTCTTTTTAAAAAAAAATCCTGGATGCTATTTCTAAACCCTTTAATCTTCGTTTCATCATGTACACATCTGGCTGGCGGTAATGATGCAGTAAAGGCAGTTGGAAAAAATAAAGGTTCGGAAGCTTTCCTGATGAGATTGGAAGATGTGATGACCGTTCATTTATTATTATTTATTGCTGCTTCTAATGATCATCTTGTAAATACATACATATATACATATGAATCACTATGGCAAGAAATGTGTCAGATGTCATGATTTTTAGATCAGGGGTTATGAATGGAAAGAAACTTTATCGATTTGCATATGATTTCTTCTACAGGAGTCCGTATTGAATATTCGATGTGTAATTGTACTTTTTTTTATGACTTTAAATATAATCTACTGCTTTTACCTTTCTTATTCCCTCATGTTCTGGTTTTTTGTATTTCCGAGGATTAAAATTAGCCCGAGATTTTCCACAATCAGCATACTGGTTGGTTGTCGGTGTCAGCGTGTGTGTGTACAAGCCAAACTGAATGTCTCGAAGAATAGATATTTAGTCTTAACTTATCTGTCTGTATGTCTGTTTTCGACATAGAACTTTGCACATATATGCGGCAGTTCAAGTCGCCACACCATGTAGCACACAAAGCAAGAGAAGAAAGTAGGAGAAATGCATAATAGAGACTGTAAACAGAGGTGTGAGACAAAGGAATAGTAATAACGAAGAACAAAGCAGTTTAATTGGAAATCATAAGTCACAAGGAGTGGATGCATCTGCGTTAGTCATTGAGAACGATTTTGAGCCATGTCATCAATAGTTTCCAACCATTGGTTTTTACCGTCCCGAGGACCTCAACCAGGAGGCCAGTCTACACCTTCCTACGTGGCCTAGACTAACTGTTGTAGATTTAATTGACTGGTGCCATGTTTTGCTTTGACCGCCACTAGCTCTTTTCCAGCCTGACCCTATATCAGCTAACATTGCCCGTCGGTTGAGGAAGGGGATGACTAGGCATACGTAACACATGCCCTAACCATCTCAGTCGATGTAATTTCACAGCCTCGTCGATTGATTTCCCCTCCTTACCTAGCACTCGACCGTAGCCTAACCTCAATATTGCTCACCTTATTATACCAGTTCATACGGGAGATAGAACGCAGACACCTATGATCAAAGACAGCTAATCTTTTCATTTCTTCCACTCTCAATGGCCAGGTCTCACAGCTAGCCATAAAGGAGGACGGAGCTGACTGTTGAGCAGTACACACGCCCTTTGGTCGATAGTCGGATATCACGTCTACGCCAGAGACGGCGTAAACTGGCATATGCGAAACTAGCCCTCTGTATCCGCGCTGAGATTTCGTCAGAGATCAACCCGTTGGGGCTAATGGTATTTCCCAAGTAAGTGAAGCGGTCAACGTACTCTACCACTTCACTTCCTACTTCTAATCTAGGAGTTAGTGTAGTCCAATCTTATAACATCATCTTGCATTTGGCGGGAGTGAATCGCATGCCAAACATTCGTAGATTTCAGCTGAACGTATTCTTATCTTATTGTTGAGGTTCACTGTATCAAAATGTCGAATTTCACAGTTAATAAATGGAATGTTAGAAGTTATTTAGGAAATACTGAGATTAGTTTTTTCTTTCCTGAATGATATCTATCGTGTATTTCAGTCGCAAAGTATCCTCGTCAACGTTTATTGCAAGTTATCACTTTAGGATTTCGCTTCTGCGTCATTCAAAACATGTTACTTTATGTCTTCCATCTTAAGTAGCAATGCCCTATCTTGATTAGCAAACAGATATGTTTCAGAAATCAGCGATAACGCGATTTGATGGACACTGGGAGCATCTTTAGTGATCTATGCTGAGTATTTCATTAATATCAATTGTTAGATTATCGTAAGGAACCAACTTCGCTTAGAGAGATCATTGAAAGCCAGTGAGCACTGGACAGCTCTTTCGTCGTATTTGGAGACTCCTCAGCATTGCACACCCACAACTTCACCAGGGATCGAACCCTGACTGACTGACTGGTTTCAACATAGAACCTTTGCACTGATGTGCAACAGTTCGAGTCGCCACACTCCATGTAGCCTCCAAAGCCTCAGGATGGTCGGGAGTGGGTGCCTTGCGCTGCGGGTTGGCCACCCCTCCGCATACCTCTTGAAATGCTCCCATATGACCGGGCGTCTTACATAGCCTCTCCTGAGGAAGTCCTACTCACTGCCTTCACGTGGCGGAGGTGTTTTTCACCAAAGTGAGAGGGCGAAAGCGGATGCCCGGCGCTCTTCACCGGGTTGACTGTCCATTGGATGACAGTCTAGGGGACATGGCTAAACCCTGATTCCAAACCTCCAACGACTGGCGTATGAAGCTCACTGGAGCTCACCGGCAGACGTATGGACAAAGCGCTTGTTGGATGTCCTGGATGTCTGGCCCCATTCAAAAAGGCGTATGAACCGAACTCCGGTCACCGACTGCCAATGGATAGTGGACTCCCTACTCCACTCCTACTGCCTTGTAGGTCACACTTGGTTGTGTAAAGGCTAGAGCTGCACTCTCAAACAAAAGGCCGAGCGATTCTGGGGACATCACTCGTACCAAATTCCCATGAAACTTCATGAACTCTCTTATTCGAGATGTTCATGAAGCCGGCTCATCCTCCCATAGGAGATAGCCGAAGTAAAGTAAAGTAAGTATGTAGCATAGATAGCAAGATAAGAAAGTAAAGGAAATACAAAGTAGAGACAGTAAACAGAGATATGAGGCAAACAGAATAGTAATATCCTAGGACAGTATAGTTTTATTGGGTATTATAAGTTACAAGGAGTGGGTGCATCTACGCCAACCATTGAGAACGATTTTGAGCCATATCACCAACTGTCTCCATCCATTAGTGTTTACCGTCCTAAGGACCCCCAACCAGGGATTCTACACCTCCCTACGTGACTGGTTTAAACTAATTGTTGTGGAGGATCGAATCCGGGATTTTCAGGCTGCGAGACCAAACTCGTTGACGACCATTCAGCTACTTGGACCAGGATCCTCCGACTCGTTGAGTCCAACTTTGTCAACTCGTGATGTACCGATACCCTCAGCAAAGGCCTTCGGTGAGCATCCGTTTCACCTTGATGTCTACTAAATGGATTTCCTGAAGCTGTAGTAAAAAGTCGTAACCAACGGAATGCATAATGTAGACGTGAAATGGATACTCATCGAGTCATTGCATTGAAAAGAGTAGTGCTATCTGACGAATCAGAAAAATTAGAATTCACGCATCATTGAATGCAAGCCGAAATGGTTGGATGGTCGACGAGCTTGGTGTTGTAACCCGAAGGTTCCGAGTTCGACCCCTGGTGGGATAGAGGGTATGCAATGCTGAAGAGTCATAAAATAGGACGAAAGAACTGTCCAGTGCTCTTCTGTTTTCAATGATCTCTTACTGATTTTGGTATGTGACAAATATCTAGTAATTGAAATTCATCCGAAATCCCTACAAAACCTCTAGTTTGAATATTTCATCAGTAATCAGCTATATTTGGGTTCTGAACGATGCAGTATTATTTATTATGCAATGTGTCAAGGAACTTAGCCCTAAGTTCCTATTGTAATGAAGACGTAGGCGATTTGAACCGATAAATACTATGTATTTCTTTCAACTTTAAATCCAAAACACCAGTATTCCTTGAACGAAATTATATTGTTTGGCAATTAAAGTGAAGACAACTACAAAGTTTTTATTCGTATTCGTTCCGCCCATGTTCAACTTGCACACGATCGAACCATTCGCGCCTTAGAGTTGCCCACCAATGGTTGCCAGTTCCAATAAACAAACGTTCAATGTTCACGTCCATCGACACAATGTTTGCGTAATCTGAAGGATTTGACGTTGCAAAGAACAGGCAAGTTTAAATAAACAGAGGGAAGATTAGAATGGTGAAGACCAAAATTGACCAAAATTCTGAACCAAGAAAATAGATTGAGAAGATAGGATGAGAATAATGTGCTATTGTACATATAAGAAAAAGGCGTAAATATTATAAATATTTATAATTTATCATAAATATTTTTAGAATTTATGTTCCCAGGGGAACTTAAAGCTTCAAACTTGTGTTGTTTAATTTTTGTATGGGGTGGAATTGCAAGCTTCATACCTAACCTTTTCTCTTTACCAGGCCTACTGACTGGTTTCAACACAGAACTTTGCAGCAGTTCAAGTCGTCACACTTCACTCAGCACACAAAGCCAGAGAAGAAAGTAAAAATAAATGCAAAAGAGAGATATGAGACAAACAGAATGGTAATATCGAAGAACAATATAGTTTTATTGCATAAGTCACAAGGAGTGCATCTGCGCCCACCATTGAAAACTATTTTGAACCATATCACCAATTGTCTCCATCTATTAGTGTTTACCATCCCGAAGACCCCAACCAGGAAGTCTACACCTCCCTAAGTGGCTGGCTTCAACTAATTGTTGTGGATTTCATTGACTGATGAAGCCATGTTTTGGTTTGACCACCACTGGCTAGCACTTTTCCAACCTGATCCATCCTATATCAGCTAACATTGCCCATCGAGGAAGTCGATAACTACGCTTACCAGGTCTACTACCGGCTAACTGAGGTTCAAAAGTGCGTCGGCCGGCGACAAAACCCCGGACCATAGGCATGGCTGGTGAGTATATCCTAGCACGGACTCACATTTTGAACGTAATCCTTGTAATCAACTTCTATAGTTGTCGCACTCAAGATTCATTGGTCGGAAATCAAACATTCCAAGTGTTTAGTTCTCAAATCCCAAACAGGACGATTTGAAACTATTGTGTTCGTCTAGAATTATAAAGGCAGGCCTTAAATCGGATGTAGGGTGGTGATTGATTGTTTTGGAGTAACAAACAATCATTTAGATAAGCAAATAAGTTATAGCTGTGCAAATTATAGTCTATTTAAAATATGTGTCCACTTAATGCATAATATCTCAGAAAATATACGATCAAATCTTGATTATAGTTCATATAAACTAATAATCTCAAAACAATGTGATACACAAGTCTGTTCAAATCTGTTGTGTTTAGCTTCCTAGGTTAAAATTTATGAAATCTGTAGTCTAGACGAATAAAACCAATGCGAAATTGTTCAGACTACTGTTATCTAACTAAATAAAAGTGCGTATCTTATCCATGGTGCTATATGCTACTGATTGACTGAAATAAGTA